AAAAAAAAAAAAAAATCTCCATCACCCCCCACAAGTAGTACAGTGTCACCATGGTGACCCCACACTGCTAGGTTGACAGTAAGTAAAAAAAAATAAACATAAATAATATAAAAAAAATTAAAATAAAAGTGTGAAAAAAAAAAAGTTTAAAAATTATAATTTTTGGTTATAAACTAATTTGGGTTATTTTTTTCTTTTTTTACTAAAAAGATAACGGAATCAATTTTGGCCAAGATTTATGATGAAATATTATTAATTTGCAAAATTTTATAAGAAACACTTTTTTTTTTTTATAATTTTTGGACATATTCATTTATATAGCAAAAAAAAAATAAAAACTCCCAGCGGTGAATAAATACAACCAAAATAAAGTTTTATCTGTCTCAAAAAATGCTAAACAATTGTCATTCAAAGTGTGATAGCGCTGAAAGCTGAAAATTTGCCTGGGGGGGTGAAAGCGTCCGGACTGGAAGGGGGGGGGAAAGCGTCCGGACTGGAAGGGGGGGGGAAAGCGTCCGGACTGGAAGGGGGGGGGAAAGCGTCCGGACTGGAAGGGGGGGGGGGAAAGCGTCCGGACTGGAAGGGGGGGGGGGGGGGAAAGCGTCCGGACTGGAAGGGGGGGGGGGAAAGCGTCCGGACTGGAAGGGGGGGGGGGAAAGCGTCCGGACTGGAAGGGGGGGGGGGGGAAGCGTCCGGACTGGAAGGGGGGGGGGGGGGAAAAAAGTGGGGGAAGCGTCCGGACTGGAAGGGGGGGGGGGGGGGGTGGCGTCCGGACTGGAAGGGGGTGGAAAGCGTCCGGACTGGAAGGGGGTGGAAAGCGTCCGGACTGGAAGGGGGGTGAAAGTGTCCGGACTGGAAGGGGGTGGAAAGTGTCCGGACTGGAAGGGGGTGGAAAGTGTCCGGACTGGAAGGGGGGGAAATTGTCCGGACTGGAAGGGGGGTAAAGTGTCCGGACTGGAAGGGGGGGAAATTGTCCGGACTGGAAGGGGGGGGAAAGTGTCCGGACTGGAAGGGGGGGAAAGTGTCCCGGACTGGAAGGGGGGGGAAATTGTCCGGACTGGAAGGGGGGGAAAAAGTGTCCGGACTGGAAGGGGGGGGGGGGGGAAGTGTCCGGACTGGAAGTGGTTAATGTCATGTGGCTGCATCCCATTGTTCTATTGTCTGTCTAGCTTGGGAGCAAACTATTATAGGATGTATGTGTTTATGTGTATTAGCTTAGTGGGGGGGGCAAGGGCGGGCTGACAACTCACGGGGCCCCCGGGCAATAGGGGATCATGGGGCCCGTGTCCTCGTCCACACCCAAAAAAAGCCTATGAAAAAGCCAATGAAAGGTACCTGGGGCATCTCATGGGGCCCCCTACTGACCCGGGCCTTGAATGGTTAGTCCGCCCCTGGGGGGGGTCTCCAGCAGCCCTCCCTCCTGATGGGACTGTCTGCTGGTGTGAAGTATGAATACCTGTGTGTCTCTTGTTACTAAACGTAGATTGCCCCGCCCTGTGTCATTATGCAGGGAGGGGGGACTGTCCCCTGAGTGTATATATCTTGTATCCGTGTTCAAGTAAACTAGTCTACCTCCTGATTTACTTCAAGATCGGTGTCGTCTAGTCTTGTATGATCAGCTGTGGTGTCTGTTGTCGGTGTTCGGACGGGGAAGCGGTACTCGAGCGCAGTCTGGGTCGGCTCCATTACACACAGTTTATGGTAAATCTAAAGTAAAATTCTCAAGAAAATTGTACAACGTATCTATCTATCTATCTATCTATCTATCTATTATCTATCTATCTATCTATTATCTATCTATCTATTATCTATCTATCTATTATCTATCTATCTATTATCTATTATCTATCTATCTATTATCTATTATCTATCTATTATCTATCTATCTATCTATCTATCTATCTATCTATTATCTATTATCTATATATCTATTATCTATCTATCTATTATCTATCTATCTATTATCTATTATCTATCTATTATCTATCTATCTATTATCTATCTATCTATTATCTATCTATCTATCTATTATCTATCTATCTATTATCTATCTATCTATCTATCTATCTATCTATCTATTATCTATCTATTATCTATCTATCTATCTATCTATCATCTATCTATTATCTATCTATCTATTATCTATCATCTATCTATTATCTATCTATTATCTATCTATCTATCTATTATCTATCTATCTATCTATCTATCTATCTATCTATCTATCTATTATCTATCTATCTATTATCTATCTATCTATTATCTATCTATCTATCATCTATCTATCTATCATCTATCTATCTATTCAGTCGTATCCGACCCTTGGTGATTGCACGGACCGTCACTCGTAAGCGACTTCTTCCATGAATTCTCATAGCAATTATTTTTACAGGGTAGGTTGCCAGGTCTTTCCTCAATCCCCACCATGGAGGAGATCCCACATGGCCAGGGATGAAACTAGGACAATTTAGACAGGAGCCAATTAACCTACCAGCATGTCTTTGGAGTGTGGGAGGAAACCGGAGCAGCCGGAAGAAACCCAAGCGAACACAGGGAGAACATGTAATCTCCATGCAGGAGGCGCCATGGTCGGGAATCGAACCCATGACCCAATTACTGCAAGGCAGAAGTGCTAACCACTAAGCCACTGTGGGGGGCCCCATTTATCCTTCGAATTCACTGGAACTGCCCCCCCCCCCCCCCCCCCCCGGATTACATTTTAATGACATTACATTGGGATGTCAAAGCGCTGGAGAAAAGTTGACAAAGCCCTTCCGTTACATATCTCTATTAAAGGAGTCGTAGAAATGGGGGGCCCCATTTATCCTTCGAATTCCCTGGAACTGTCCCCCCCCCCGGGATTACATTTTATTGAAAATAAGGCTGGCCATACATTATACAATTTTCTTGAGAACTTTGCTTTAGTTTTATCATAAACCATATGTAACGAAAGGGCGGCTTCCGTTACATTAAAATGTAATCCCGGGGGGGGACAGTTCCAGGGAATTCGAAGGATAAATGGTGCCCCCCATTTCTACGACTCCTTTAATAGAGATCAAGCGCTTTGTCAGCTTTTCTCCAGCGCTTTGACATCCCAATGTAATGTCATTAAAATGTAATCCCGGGGGGGGTGGTTCCAGGGAATTCAAAGGAATTTGAAGGATAAATGTGCCCCCCCCCCATTTCTAGGACTCCTCTAATAGAGATCAAGCGCATTGTCGACTTTTCTCCAGCGCTTTGACATCCCAATGTAATGTCATTAAATGTAATCCCGGGGGGGGGGGGGGGGCGGTTCCAGGGAATTCGAAGGAATTCGAAGGATAAATGTGCCCCCCCCCATTTCTAGGACTCCTCTAATAGAGATCAAGCGCATTGTCGACTTTTCTCCAGCGCTTTGACATCCCAATGTAATGTCATTAAATGTAATCCTGGGGGGGGGGGGGGGGGGTTTCCAGGGAATTCGAAGGAATTCGAAGGATAAATGTGCCCCCCCCCCATTTCTAGGACTCCTCCAATAGAGATCAAGCGTTTTGTCGACTTTTCCTGGGAATTCGAAGGATAAATGGGGCCCCCATTTCTACGACTCTACGAGAGATCAAGCGCTTTGTCAACTTTTCTCCAGCGCTTTGACATCCCAATGTAATGTCATTAAATGTAATCCCGGGGGGGCTCTTCCAGGGAATTTGAAGGAATTTGAAGGATAAATGGGGCCCCCCCCCTTTTTCTACGACTCCTTTAATAGAGATCAAGCGCTTTGTCAACTTTTCTTCAGCGCTTTGACATCCCAATGTAATGTCATTAAAATGTAATCCCGGGGGGGACAGTTCCAGGGAATTCGAAGGATAAATGGGGCCCCCCATTTCTACGACTCTACGAGAGATCAAGCGCTTTGTCGACTTTTCTCCAGCGCTTTGACATCCCAATGTAACGTCATTAAAATGTAATCCCGGGGGGGGGGGCGATTCCAGGGAATTCAAGGGAATTCGAAGGATAAATGTGCCCCCCTTCCCCATTTCTAGGACTCCTCTAATAGAGATCAAGCGCTTTGTCGACTTTTCTCCAGCGCTTTGACATCCCAACTGTCTCCAAGCGGCCGCAAACGTCTTCAGCAATCAAGAGTAATGTGTCTGGGGAGTGCCGGGTCTAAGGGCCGTGTCGCCGGCGCTCTCCCGCTAGATCCATCGGAGGGTAAAATGTGTCATTTATGCATCGGCTCACAGAGAGAAGGAGGAGAACGGCGTTCCCTGTGAAGTTAATCTAATAATAGAGTGGAAAGCAATGATTACCGTTTCATGCGCACCAGCTATTTGTAGCAGTGGTTGGCCTAATTCCGCGGGCCGCGCTTGTCAGAGCGCGGGGATTAACAAGTGTTTAGCTGACTACCTATTGGGAGACATGAAGAAATTGTTTAATGAGATATAAACTCTTACATTTCCTTTCCGGAGACAGACAGTGTGCTGAGTCGGCTTCTACGGGATCAGCGCAAAAGACGTGGTAAATCAAGGCTCGGTTTTCAGCAAACTTCCCCCGTTCTCTATGGAGACCTGAACACAAACATGCACACACGTGTCAGCGGCATGGACACAACCACAAAGGGCCACAGACCCGCAGGTCGCGCTTAGAACACTTCCACCCTCTGGCCCTTCAGGCCACCAACTTCATACATTTGATTAAAATCTTGCATTTATAAAAGTTCAGCCATAGGGTAAAGGGGGGGGGAGGGGCATAAAGATCTGTACGGCATGCAATGTGATCACACAGCTGGGAAATAAGAGGGAGGAATAGTTAGAACTGATGCCTCCAGCTCCTGAGCCTGGGAACTGCTCTACCCGCCTACATTCTTGTGTAGTCCCTGGGACCAGGTCACTTCCATTTCCTACAGAACAGCCTTTCTCAACCTTGTTAATATGGAGGAACCCTTCAATTAACTTTCCGGGATCAGGGAACCCCCTACTAATAATTAATATACCTACGACTTACCGTACATTAGTATGATGGTCAGTGGGAAGAATGTCCCTTACATTGGGGGTCAGTGGGAAAAACATCCCTTACATTGGGGGTCAGTGGGAAGAATGTCCCTTACATTGGTGGTCAGTGGGAAGAATGTCCCTTACATTGGGGGTCAGTGGGAAGAATGTCCCTTACATTGGGGGTCAGTGGGAAGAATGTCCTTTACATTGGTGGTCAGTGGGAAGAATGTCCCTTACATTGGTGGTCAGTGGGAAGAATGTCCCTTACATTGGGGTCAGTGGGAAGAATGTCCCTTACATTGGTAGTCAGTGGGAAGAATGTCCCTTACATTGGGGGTCAGTGGGAAGAATGTCCCTTGCATTGGTGGTCAGTGGGAAGAATGATCCTTACATTGGGGGTTAGCGGGAAAAATGTCCCTTACATTGGTGGTCAGTGGGAAGAATGTCCCTTACATTGGGGGTCAGTGGGAAGAACGTCCCTTACATTGGGGGTCAGTGGGAAGAATGTCCCTTAAATTGGGGGTCCAGTGGGAAGAATGCCCCTTACATTGGGGGTCAGTGGGAAGAATGTCCCTTACATTGGGGGTCAGTGGGAAGAATGTCCCCTTACATTGGTGATCAGTGGGAAGAATGTCCCTTACATTGGGGGTCAGTGGGAAGAATGCTCCTTACATTGGGGGTCAGTGGGAAGAATGTTCCTTACATTGGGGGTCAGTGAGAAGAATGTCCCTTACATTGGAGGTCAGTGAGAAGAATGTCCCTTACATTGGGAGGTCAGTGGAAGAATGTCCCTTACATTGGAGGTCAGTGAGAAGAATGTCCCTTACATTGGGGGTCAGTGGGAAGAATGTCCCTTACATTGGGGGTCAGTGGGAAGAATGTCCCTTACATTGGTGATCAGTGGGAAGAATGTCCCTTACATTGGGGGTCAGTGGGAAGAATGTCCCTTACATTGGGGGTCAGTGGGAAGAATGAGCTATTGGAATCAACTGACCAACACATTTGGCGCTGGATTTCAGAACCCAGCACTAGTTAAAAAGCACTTGTTTTGGTGACTACACACGTTCTGGTAATAGAGTCACATCTACAATAATTGGTCCAAAAGGGGCAATAGAGACCTTTTCTAAATTCCTAAACTGCCCATTGACTTTACTACGGAAAAAAAAAACCACAAACATTCACAACCCTTCCAAAAATTTTACAACACAACTTGAACGGATCCTCCCCGCCATTTTCCTGATCATCACCACATAAATGATCATTGACCCCACCGGAACCACCTTTGGGGCTAATTTACTAAACAAAGACAATTCATATTGGATGATAAATGGTCATAAATAATAGTATATAAGGTGGAGAAGAAAAAAAAAAAAGATTTTTGCTGGCACGTGATTGGGTATTAAAGGCGATTACAGCTTCATCATATTCGCCAACATTCGCTTTGTAGGCAACGCTCATTTGGACTCCTTGTCACTCAACTCGTCCAGGATCCAGTGTTAGGTCTCCTCTCCGAAGCGGGACTACTGACACGTATGGATTCTACCCAGAACGTGAGCACTGCAGCCAATCAGGAGACGGCTCTACTGACTGGCACCACCTGCAAAGGGCTCGGCACTTAAGCATTGCTTTGCTATGTATCAGCTGGGCCCTCTGCTGCATTACTTACCTGTGTGCCTCCCCAGTAACAAAGCATCCTATGTATTCTTGTGGCCCCTGTGTGTCTCTGGTTCCCCTTGACTCTATTGCACCCCAAAGCATCCTGAGTAACCTGGTGAACCCAGTGCGCCCTTTGACCCCAGTGTATCTTACAGCATCATGTGTCATCTAAGGACCCAAGTGTGCTCCATCACTTCAGTGCACCTCGGAGCGTCCTGTGTCCTCTAGTGACCTGGTGCACCCCAAAGCATTCCATGTCATCTAATTACCCCAATGTGCCCAGTGACCCCAGAAAACCCTGCGTCTTCTACTGACCCCAGTGCACCCCTGTGTTTCCCACAACTCCAATGCACCCCAGAGCATCATGTTCCATCTACTACCCCCAATGTGCGCCATGACTCTAGTGTGCCCCAGAACATACTGTGTAATCTATAGACCCCAGTGCACCCCATGACTTCAGAGCCTCCCAGAGCATCATGTGTCTTCTATAGACCCCAGTGCACCCCATGACTTCAGAGCCTCCCAGAGCATCATGTGTCATCCATAGACCCCAGTGCACCCCATGACTTCAGTGCCTCCCAGAGCATCATGTGTCTTCTATAGACCCCAGTGCACCCCATGACTTCAGTGCCTCCCAGAGCATCATGTGTCTTCTATAGACCCCAGTGCACCCCATGACTTCAGTGCCTCCCAGAGCATCATGTGTCTTCTATAGACCCCAGTGCACCCCATGACTTCAGTGCCTCCCAGAGCATCATGTGTCTTCTATAGACCCCAGTGCACCCCATGACTTCAGTGCCTCCCAGAGCATCATGTGTCTTCTATAGACCCCAGTGCACCCCATGACTTCAGTGCCTCCCAGAGCATCCTGTGTCGTCTACAAAGACCAATGCACTTGGTGACTCTAGTGCAATCAGATATTCCTGCGCTAGCTAGTGATCTTAGTGCACCCCTGTGCTCCCCATAACCCCAGTGCACCCCAGGACATCCTGTGACATCTACGACCCCAATGTGCCCCATGACCCCAGTGCACCCCTGTGTTCACCATGACTCCAGTGCACCCCAGAGCTACATGTGTCATCTAGTGATCGCAGGGCACCCTTGTGCTCCCATGACTCCAGTGCACCTCAGAGCTTCCTGTGTTATGTGTTGACCCCAATGTGCCCTATGACCCCAGTGCACCCCTGTTCTCCCCATAACTCCAATGCACCCCAGATATTCCTGTGCATCCCAGAACATCCTGTGTCATCTACTGATCCCAATGCACCCCATGACCCCAGTGCACCCCTGAGCCTCCCATGACCACAGTGCACCCCTGTGCTCCACATGACTCCAGTGCACCCCAGATATTCCTGTGCTAACTAGTGACCTCAATGCACCCCTGTGCTCCCCATGACTCCAGTGCACCCCAGATATTCCTGTGCTAGTGACCTCAATGCACCCCTGTGCTCCCCATAATTCCAGTGCATCCCAGATCATCCTGTGTTATCTACTGACCCCCGTGCCCCCCATGACTTCAGTGCACCCCAGAGTTTCCTGTGTCATCTAGTGACCCCAGTGCACCCCTGTGAACCCCATAGCTTTTGGTGCCATCTAGTGACTCCTAGTGCATCCTGTGCACCTCCCTCGCAGTCTTTGGCACACTCCACAGTTGTCCGGTCTGGTCACCATCAACACCCTCTGCCGCCGTTCTTCTCTCAGGTACGTTCCTTCAATCTAGTCAAGGCACATCACAAAGAACAGCTGGGTCAACACCGCGCTGAGTAACTGAGGAAGAGGCAAGTCCTCGAAACGCGTCAGCCTTTTGGATGTCTACACTCCCTATTGCGGACTGTTACTCAGCACGGTGCTGACCCAGCTGTTCTTTGTGATGTGCCTTGACGATATTGTCGTTTGTGAGTACAACACCTACTTTATTTTTTATTAAACATTTTTTATGGTAATGCCCTAGGCCTGTGCGCCCTCTGTTTGTTCTTTCCTCATTCAGTATATTTGGATTCCCCCGGTCCATTTGAGGGCAGCAAGGTGTGCATGTTCCAGGACATTCTTAATGTGGTTGTAGCATCGAGTCCATCCCCAAGCGCAGGAGCATTTGTGTTTGCTGGTTCTACGTTCCTTCAATCGCCTGGACTGTCCTTGTATCTGTGGATACAGACTTCTGTCCTCGACAGCACTGCTGACAAGCATCTGGCAATGTATGACCTAAAGACGATGGCTCACATGATACCGGGGCAGCCTATTGGCTCTCCTGCACAATGTGTGCCTCAACCCTGACCCAGGGGCGGACTGACCATTTGGAAACTCGGGCACTGCCCGAGGGCCCGGGGTCAGTAGGGGGCCCCATGAGATGCCCCTGGTACCTTTTTCATAGGCTTTTTTGAGTTTGGGCAAGGACACAGGGGCCCCATGATCCCCTATTGCCCAGGGGCCCCATGAGTTGTCAGTCTGCCCCTACCCTGACCTATATCCATTCCCTGCACTCACTAGAAGATGAAATAATGAGTCCTTGCTCCCTACGCTGCTCCCGATTCTCGTATTAAAGATTTATTTTCCAGCCCAATGTAACTTTTATGGATTATTTCATTATTCAGAGATCATCCAGCCTACCCCCCCCCCCCCCCCCCCGGGTCATACTGCTGTATAGGGCATAGCGCAGGGAGAGGGTTAATACCTCTCCTTCCCTACAAGACTAAACAGGCGCGGGGGTCAGGGGAACCGTGTGAAAGAAGCGTCGCTGAATCCCATCCCGAGCATCTGCCATCCAAACACTTATTTTATGCATCTCAACGAAATGTGTTCAAAGCTGAAAAGAATTACAAAGATAATCCAATCAGTTCAAATAATTACATCAGAGCCGGCATCTGCACCCCACACCGATCCTGTTCATCCCGCCATTTACAGTGTGTGGGTGTTATAATACAAAAAAAAAAAAAAAGGGTGGGGGGGGGTGCAATAGACTAATATACTGTATAATGGTTTAAAATATTTAATACTTGGTCTTCCCCGGCCCCTTGTCAACTTAAAAAATGAATTTATTAAATAAAAGCTTTCCTTTTTCGATACACATCTTATTTTAGACCCAGTTTGGTCATCACTGGGAATCTGTGCTTCTCTATGCAATGCGGGCAGACCGTTCATTCACTATTATATTCATTGCCAGGGGCGGGGGGGTGAAAGTGTCCGGACTGGAAGGTGGGGGGGGGAAAGTGTCCGGACTGGAAGGTGGGGGGGGAAAGTGTCCGGACTGGAAGGTGGGGGGGGAAAGTGTCCGGACTGGAAGGTGGGGGGGAAAGTGTCCGGACTGGAAGGTGGGGGGGAAAGTGTCCGGACTGGAAGGTGGGGGGGAAAGTGTCCGGACTGGAAGGTGGGGGGGAAAGTGTCCGGACTGGAAGGTGGGGGGGAAAGTGTCCGGACTGGAAGGTGGGGGGGTGTCCGAAAGTGTGTCCGGACTGGAAGGTGGGGGGGAAAGTGTCCGGACTGGAAGGTGGGGGGGAAAAAAGTGTCCGGACTGGAAGGTGGGGGGGAAAGTGTCCGGACTGGAAGGTGGGGGGGAAAGTGTCCGGACTGGAAGGTGGGGGGGAAAGTGTCCGGACTGGAAGGGGGGGGGGGAAAGCGTCCGGACTGGAAGGGGGGGGGGAAAGCGTCCGGACTGGAAGGGGGGGGGGAAAGCGTCCGGACTGGAAGGGGGGGGGGGAAAGCGTCCGGACTGGAAGGGGGGGGGGAAAGCGTCCGGACTGGAAGGGGGGGGGGAAAGCGTCCGGACTGGAAGGGGGGGGGAAAGCGTCCGGACTGGAAGGGGGGGGAAAGCGTCCGGACTGGAAGGGGGGGGAAAGCGTCCGGACTGGAAGGGGGGGGAAAAAGCGTCCGGACTGGAAGGGGGGGGAAAGCGTCCGGACTGGAAGGGGGGGAAAGCGTCCGGACTGGAAGGGGGGGGAAAGCGTCCGGACTGGAAGGGGGGGGAAAGCGTCCGGACTGGAAGGGGGGGAAAGCGTCCGGACTGGAAGGGGGGGAAAGCGTCCGGACTGGAAGGGGTTAATGTCATGTGGCTGCATCCCATTGTTCTATTGTTTGTCTTGCTTGGGAGCAAAACTATTATGGGATGTATGTGTTTATGTGTATTAGCTTAGTGGGGGTGGTGCAAGGGCGGACTGACAACTCATGGGGTCCCCGGGCAATAAGAGATCATGGGGCCCGTGTCCTTGCTCACACTCAAACCACACCCAAAAAAGCCTATGAAAGGTACCAGGT